TTGCCATCACTCTGCTAAACACCTCACTCTCACAGTGCTGTCTAATATCTATATATATATTAACCCATGTAGCATGGTTATAGTGTTATTATTTATCCTTATTATTTTCTTTACTTGCTCTTTTATTTGCATTATGATGATTATGATTATTTTGCTTTGCATATACACTGAGTGCTTCTGTACCAGAGACAAATTCCTTGTGTGTCTAATCATATTTGGCCAAATAGAGCATTTAATTTAATTCAGTTTAGATAATTAAATAAGTTTTGGATTATCTTTACCAAGTACTTATTGATTACTTATTGAAAATATGTCAAATTCTTTTCAGAATAGAGATATGCGTATCCAGTGAATCCTATGTAGTCAATTCTAAATATTTACCTTCTACTACTAAAGTTAATGTTTGGAAATGATTCTAAACTGAGACCATTTTACTACTTAATATATTAACTCAGATAATTAAACATACCAGAAAAAACAGGATTAGTCTAGTTTCCAGAAGACACTCAGAAATCAATTAAACATCCTGCCTTATCAGTTGTAAAAGTAGTTTCTTCCTTTATATTTTCTGTTTGTACTATGTGCCATCTGTTTCTTTTGATTAAGTTCTGTAGCTTCCTTGAAAGTTTACTTTGGCTGTCTTCACACTTGGCTGCTTTTACCAAAATAAAATTATTATCTGGATACTCTCTAATTGTTGGTCTTCCTTGGTGAGATTTCTATCATAGGAGCTGCATAAAGATTGTAACAGATGTGCTGTATAAAGATCCCTTAAGATATTTTGCTGCCTGAAGTAATGCCCAAGATTTTATTTTCCCAGTTTCATATAGAGAAGCTGAATGGATTGACAGTAGAATTTTTCCTCAATGACGCACAGATGTAAAATGGTTTACACAAATGAAATTGCAATAAACCAGTTTCTGACATATCCAGGTCTCATTTTTTAGCAATAGCTACTGCTTAGTAGTTCCAGGGCCTGTCTAATGATAAAGCCAATACTGCAGCATCCTGTTAGGAAATCACACACATACATCTCTCTCTCTCTCACACACACACACACAATCAGCATTGTGACAGGATTGGAGAAGGACTCATTTATCTATCCTTCCCACATCTGATTTGGGCAATTTCCAATCTATAATAATATGAAATATGGGAATATACATAATTAGCTTATTGGGGAACACCAAATATAAAACATTTTCTTCCAGAGAAAAGAAGATCCTACTATCATTATGCAACTAGTTGAACTACTAATCCTAAATTCTGAGTTCAGGGGGGTGGGGTCCCCGGAATTATTGCAAGGATCTACAATATGTATCAAAAATGGAGAATAAAACAAGCCACATGGTTCTTCTGCTGACACAGATGCTTTATAGTCTGAAATATAGGGAAGAAAATAAATACTAAACTGTTTTAGGAGGTAGATTCACAACTGATTTAGGCCAGTTCCCTTCTTCCTGCTGGCTAAGAGTAATTTTTCCAGCCTAGTTGCAATCCTGAACTGCCCATGGTTGGGTTTTTTTTTTTGTCCTATTACTAGCACAACTATCACCACTGCTCTCTATGTATCCTTGTTCTGCATTCCCTGCCCCAAGAGCTCCTGTTACCCCACCAAGGTTCTCATGTGTTACAATCCCCTCTTCTATTTTCTTCTTCCATAAATGTGGCACTCCACCCACCTTACTCCTTAGGTCATACCACTGGTTTCCTTTTAAGTCTCATCTGAGCACCAGCCTCACCAATATGCATTTTCCACCCAAAATTATTAACTTTTGTATAGTGAGGAAACTTCCATCGCCTATGCAATGACTGTGTGTTTTAATGGTGTTTCGTAAAATACATTGAATTAAAATTAAAGTTGAATTCATGTTAATTTTTTATTATTTTTGTACTTTAGTCAACAGAGTCTGAAAGTTCTGCTAATGTCATATGGTACTCCACAAATATTTAAACATACAGAAGGTTTCTTTGTGCAATTTGGGGAACTAGTGAGGTAGAATGTAGAGCTGAAGGAGTAATTAAAATTATTTATAAAATTATATTGAATTTTCTTATCCCTATCTAGACATACAAAATGGTGGTGAAGGTGTTGGGTTAGAAACAGACACTAAGTTCTGGTCCATCCTTCACAATAGATGCTTCCTAGTGGTCTGGGATTTTCTGGAGAAAAATCGGTGAAGGAGCACTACATAATGCCACTTTGAACTCCTGAATGAAAGGTGGATATAAATCCAAAATGTGTTTCTGTGATACAGAAATGCATTTAGCAATGTTTTTATAGTCAAGGTGATAAAGCACAGGTTGGGATCTTCCAAATTTACTGAACCTCATCCAGCATACCTGAAGTTGTGCTGCCTGCTGTATTGGCAGATGGCCTTCAAAATATATAGAGAGCTACCCAATGAGCTATCCTGTCATTGAACTCACACAACTTGGTAAACCCTCATTTGCTAACCCCTGCATTAACTCATTATTATCATCCATAATATGCACAAAAAGTCATAAATTGTCAAATTTTACACTACACGCACATATAACAAATATATCCCATCTTTGTTACTTTATAAATATCTCAAGGTGGTGAACTTACATAAATCATATCTCTCCTATTTCCCCATAACAACAATCCTGTGAGGTAGATTACCAAAGCCTTTCATGTCTAAGGCAGGACTAGAACTCACAAATCTCCTAGTTTCTAGGTCAGCATCTTCACAACTACACCGAACTGGTGTTTATATATTTATTCCCACCTGAAACCTCAGAAGTATAAAATAACATCATTTGATAGTTTGAGATTGCTAAGATATGGGATAATTTGAAAATGGTTTATTACTTTTATAATCTACCTCCACCCAAAAATCATACAGTACCAGAAGCTGTGAATCTTAGTATAGTAGGAAACTGAATGATACTACTCTGCAGAGTTGTCATATACCACTCTTCCTATCAAAAAGAATACAGGTAGTCCTCGAGTTACAACTGTAATGGAGTAGTCCATTGCCATCATAAGCCAAGAGAACATTAAGTGAATTATATTAAGTAAATGGGCCCTCATCCCTACCCCCCCTCCCCATATATTCATCGTTAAGAGCACCCGGAGTACCTCAGGAGTGGGGAAAACCAGGGGAGGAAAACTAGTGCAGGAACAAGACTTCTGGCCACCCAAGTCCTCTCCTCACCCATCCCATGGTCCATTTCTCACACCTTGAGGTCCCCATAACTGCTTGGGTCTTCACACCAACCCTGTCAACGATCGCTCACTTACCTTTTCAAAGATATCCAGAGTTCAAGTTGTCGGTGTAGGAAAGGAGAACAGGTTGGCATTCCTGCATTCATGCCCCTCTGCTTTTTGCTAAAACACTTTTGTGAAGAGAACGGGGCATGAAGGAATGTGAGATTTATCTTTGGCTGAATGCTATTGCAAAGAGAAGGGAAGCCTATAGGAAGAAGTTTGCTGTTGGCTGCATGCCTTCCTTCTCCCACTATTAATTCATAGTGTCTGTGCCATTACTGATTTTTGTAACAGATATATAACAATGAAGGGTTATATCCTTGTCCATTGGCAGAATAACTTCCAAAGGTTAGAAACTCAGAAAATACCTTAAGTAAAACCTAACTTAGAAATATGAACTCCATTTGTGAATTTTAATATACTGCTCCCATTTTAATATACTGATAATTAATTACAGTTATACATAATAAAGTTTTGAATTATTTTAATGAGGCAACAATTATGTTGAACAGGTTGTTTTAAGATACTCTTTTTTTAAAGAGATGGCTGAGTTCACACCATATCTTTAATTTGGTTGCCAAACCATAATAATACAGTGAATTATAAATTAATTAAACAGGCTGGATTCATACAATATACTAAATCACACTAACTAGCCATGATTCATGTGCAAGAATATGGTAAGTGTGTGTGTAAATTCAACCAGTATGCGTAGCAATTATTACAAGCAGGGTTCATCCACTAGTTGCAAAAACAAGTCAGAAATAATCTTTTGTTCTAAGTCTGCAGAAATGAAACTTTTTCGCCCCCTTCTGGATGTCAATGATTTAAAGCAAGAACCATGGAGAAGTTCTGTTAATCCGTTATGCCAAAAATCATTGTATATTCTTGGGATAACTTTATTTGCTGATATAAGCCAACATCCTGGAATCATTAAATAAAAGGTGGTGGCCCAAAAATGAACAGCTATCATCTTTGTTTTTCATGGATCTTTAAGCTAAAATCTGAAGAATCAATCTGATCTAATTGATGGCAATACATTAAGTAAACATGAAATTTAATCTGGGGGAAAGGGTTGGTTTAGGAACTAACTAAATTAATCACTGTTACATTGGAATGTAGAAAGTAGGCAAGCAGAAGATAAATTGTAAAAGAAACTACATTTCAGCTCATCTTGTCTTGTGGGAGCTTTAATATTCTATAAGACTATTTGCCTATTTTGGCAGAAACAATAACTGCATCCCCAAATATAAGTACTCTTTCCAAAATGGTGTTACTTGCTCATACTGAACTCAAACAAATTCATTCAAGCTCTATTGATAAGTTATTGATCTTATAAAATCTTACACATTCATTAATTTAAAAAGCTTGGATAATAGTTGATATCAAATGCCCCCAATCTCTACCCATGCTTCAAAGAAGCCAGGAAATTGTATAGGTTTTGCAAGAGAGACAAGTATGAAACATACAGCATGGTCCCCTTAAATACTTTTGTTAAATGTCAGGATAGTGTTTGCATCAAACCATGATGCATGTCTATCATCATTTTGAGGCAATCCAAACTTACTGCAGTTCCCTATAATATGGGTAGTTTAGCATCTCTGTAAACTGCAAAAACTTGATTTGGTCACTGTTCTATGATGGTGTTACCAATCCCACTCACCTGCTTACATACATTTCACCTTACTTTTTCAGGCTTACTTTGGAACTTTAGAGCTATGTGCCTAGGCCCTCAGCAGACATTCAACAAATGTGAATTCTCATCATCTGAGACAAGAATGTATCCCAGGTGCCTCTCAACATGAGATAGTGCTTTCTTCAAATTCTATATACAGAAGAAATTCATCGGACATAAATCCAGCTGTTTTAACAATATGCAGCAACTTCCTACACATCTAATATATTTCTGTCTGGTGTTCTGTGACTTTTAGAACTGGAATAGTGTGGACTACAATTAAAGTATAAAAAAGTAACTAACTTTATAATTGATCACTAATGCCTTACACCAAAAACTTTTCTCCATAATTTACTAAACTTAATTATTGAATTGTCAGGTGTGAAAGATCAAGTCCATGTGAAGGTCCAATTAAACTAAGTTAATCATAGTTATGTAGCAGAATCTTCTCAACCTAACCACGATTAAAGGGGGTTGATTTATCATTTTGCTAGTGGCTACCTAGAATTCTAGGCTTATCCTTTTAACTTTGCCTCCAGTTTCTGCCACTTCTCTTGCTATTTCAACCTTCTGGTACTTTCTTTTAACACTATTGTTTTGAGGAAGAGTCAGGAGTGAAGGCATTGAACTTTATTTTACAAAAAGATTGAAAAAGGTATGCAACCTACCAAAAGGTTATATAAAGTCAGCAAGGCTTCTATACTGAAATAGTTCTATTATAGCCAGTATTCATCAGTCAGCATTGGGGCTATGCACGCATCAAAAATATCTCAGGGGAAAGCCCTTGGACCTTGCACAAATGCAGCACCTCCTAATAAACTTTTCAGGGTTCCATATGGTCTTGAAAAAAATGCTCATCCTTTAAGGAACCCATGAGATAAAGCTAATGCAATTCTTAATGTGATACTTTTTTTAAGGCTCACATAGAACCCTAAAAGGTGTGGGGGGGTATTTTAAAGAATAGTGGGAAGTCTTCAAAGCTAAAAGGTTTATTAGGGAAACAATGTCCCTCTCCCCTTCAAAATAACCAGCATCTTCCAAAAGAACATGAACTAAGAGCAGTAAAATGCTCAAGACCAAAGGAACATAAAATGAGTGATAATTTCCCCCCACAAACTTTAGCACTGAATACTTCAGTGTTTAAGAAAAGTGAAGAATAAATGGTACATTTTACCCAAACACCAAAGAAGAAATACCAGTTTTGACATGCAATCTATTTATTGTTACATAAGTTTTTTATATGAGATGAAGCAAGGCTTCTACTTTAACACAACTAGAATTATCACAATGCAGCAGAAGAATTAACACGTTACTGATTCAAAATAAACTTGGCCTCTTCTAAAAAGAACTCCAATGTTGATACTAGAGTCTCATTTATTAAAGTCTTTGAATTCTCAACTTGGTTCACTTTGAGGATGAAGATGATAAACTGCATTTTTAAAAAGTCCAAGAACAACTGATATTTAGTCCAACAGAGCTTTATAATGTATTCTATATTTGAAGAGTAGTCCCAATGTTAAAAAGAATGTTTTTTTCATATGGCCCATGAAGAGAATCAGGATTAAATGGGATTCAAGAGGCTTTTCGCAAGCCTCTGCTGCAAATAGAAAAAAGTTAAACAGAAAGCCTTGTTTTCTTCATATGTTGAATTCACATGGACCTCTTAGATTTGCGAAATTCCTTGACCATCTCAGATAGCTTTTCCATAGCCTCAGGGATCCCCGCACCACTTAAAGCAGAACAACCATGTATACGCCATTTGCGTCCAGTTATTTTCCCCACTCCCATCCTTTCTGCCACTTCCATGGAAGGTCGTGCTTCAGGCAAATCTTGTTTGTTGGCTAGCAGCATCAAAGGCACCCCTCGCAAATCGTCAGCCTCCAATAGTGACTCCAACTCCAACCTGGCTTCTTCAAAACGATAATAGTCCATACTGTCCACAAGGAATATCAGCCCATCTGTATTGGTATGGTAATGTTTCCATAGGGCCCTGATGTGCTCTTGCCCACCAATATCCCACATAGTGAAAGTGACCTTGTTGAAGGTCTGAACTGTCTCCACATTGAAGCCCATAGTGGGGATGGTTGAAGTTTCTTCATTCAGCTTCAGCTTGTAGAGGAGAGTTGTTTTTCCGGCAGCATCCAGGCCCAGAAGGAGAATACGTGCCTCCATCCCATAGACAGAATCGTAAATTCGGCTGAATAAAAGCCCCATGGCTAGTTTAGCATAAGCAAGGTATGAAACAGAGGGGAAAGGTTCGCAATCTTATATTCAGCTAGCCTTTATTTCATTGGCTGCACACTAGGGGGAGTGTGAAAATTCCTATTACAATACTAGCTTGTTGGCAGCTGACATGCTGGAAGTTTTGAAAAGTACCTATTTGACACAATTGTTGGTAGTTAAAGTAGCCATGTTATAATGACATCATGAACTGCTGCTTAGACTGTATTAACAAAACTGCTTCATTGTGATTATTAACACATATTCAGAAAATGATTGGGCAATTTGATACTTTTCATAACTTTCCATTAAAGTATATGTACCCATATGTACAGAGAGATATTTTATGGCATATTATTGCTATCTGACAAGTGGGAGTTCCATTTGGTGAGGTTTCTTTTTCTTCCTAATTTTTTTTATACACTTGCAAACTTAGTTCTCTAAAGATCAGTATCAGTTATCTACTGCATGAGTTGGTTAAATAAGGAGCAGCATTAGGAAACTGATACAATATTGTATCTATACAGATAGAAAAATGATATAGAAATGTAGATATTTTAGAATAAATTTGAATTGTGCTATATCTTAATTATGAGTTGTATCAATAGTAAAATATTCCTGTTTAGAATTAATCTGAATTTCAACAAGATTTACTTCCAATTAAGTTTATAAAGTACAATCTTTTTTAAAACTATTTTTAAAAAAACTAATGAGAGATTTTTAAAATGTCAGACACTGCCTGCTTCATTTTGAAAGGTAAGACTTTTTAAAAATACATAGAAATGTCTGTGAAGTTGATTCAACGATGCATTACAATTTGATTTTAAGTATTATAGTGTCAAGCTTTATTTTTATTTTTTTAAACAAATGGCAAAATAAGCAGAGAACAAGTGAAAACAGGAACATTTATTCAAGGCATTTAAATCATAATGCTGATTCTTGACATCTCCCAATTATGTGTATCTTTAGAAATAATTGGTCTGATGTTAATAAATATTCGATTGTTCATTTTTCATGCATAAGAGTATTTAGCATTCCTGCTATGTGTACCATGGGTGAGAAAAATATTACTGAGTGCGTGTTCCTAGCCCATAAAGGGTTTAAATATCCGACTATTAAGCAAAAGTAACATTATTTAAGAAAAGGAGCAGAAATGCCATATTCAACTATCGAAGAATCATGAGGTCATGATTATAAAATGACTATATATACACCAAATCTATGGCAACAGTAGATCATAATTCATTCTTGTGTTCGGGCGCTCGAAAAGGTTGAGAATTTACAAATATTCAAATTAGCCAGTTCTCTAGAAGCCATGATTGGTTACATTTCCAACTGTGATTAGATAAAGGGAAAGGAGAAAGCAACTGCTCAAATCGCGCTAATTTTCTGCACCGGGAGAATGTACGGGAGAAAACACGTGAGAACATTCGATTGGAATCACAAGTACGCATGTGTGGAATTGGGATCAGGCGTTTGAATCTTTAGGGGAACGATGGGAAAGAGGGGGGGGGGGAGAGAAAAGAAGTAGAATGCGCGCGCAGCCTCCGCGTTTGCTCTCGGGATTTGTATTCCCGGCTGCTGTTCGAATCTTCTCCATGGCAACCATCTCTGCTCCAGCCTTTCTCTCCATGTCCGCATTTCCTCTTTGATGTCATCCTAATTAAAACAAAGAAAGAAAGGCATCCCGGGATTTAATTTGGACCAATGAGAAAGCGGGATGCTTTGTTCCTTTCAGATGAATTTAAGCAGAAGGAGTTTTTCGGGTCTCGGATTCAGTTAATCTTCCGATTGACTTGCAGTAGACGACAAGTAATAAATTCGATTGCTTACGGCTGGGATCGGTACAAATTGGGTTGAGATGCGGGAAAGGCAGGTGAAAGAGGGACGCATAGAAATAGGGTGATACAAAAGTGGATCTGGGGGCCACGCCCCCTTTACAGAGCCAGACCCTTTGCATTCCTTCTACCCCTCCCCCCCAACCCACCGAAAGACCTGATTTTGGCGTCTTTTAATTGGCGAGGGGGGGGTGCAGTTTATGGACGTTGGCTGCATTGTTTACTCTCATAGACCCTGGCGTAGGTTGCAATGAACGTCAAATATGCATTCACGAAGTGCTAAATAAGAAATCCGTAGTGTGTATATGTACTCAGCAGTGAGTTCATTCGTTTCTCACGCTCTCCAAGAGGTAGCAAACAATCCCCTCCCTCACTCCCCCCGGCTGGTCTCGGATAACAGAAATGCTCACTCTTTTCAGACAATGCAATTTTTAGCCAAGCTGACAGGAAGTTATGAAAGAACCGGGGTCTCTCCCATCCCAGAATGCAGGGGAATAGAGGCAATGCATTTCCACTCTTCAATCCCGAAAGCAAAGGATTCTGCATTGTTACTATGTACTGCCTACCAAAAGAGTTTGGTCTTTGTTTGGCCTCTTAAAATAAGGCACATTCCCTTCAAACGGCTTTCCGCATACATGCCGCCGTTTCTGTCCCTAATTCACATATTTCTTTTTACTTAAAATGAAATGGTATTCTTTCCCAACAGCAGGCTCACACTGAGTTTTGTAACTTTGCAAACCACATTTTAACCTATCCTACACAGAGCCTCCTCACATGGTTGGTTTATGATTTGATACATTATGCAAATTCTGGGAATTACATTAATATACATTTAATCAAAGGTTATTGTGTAAGCACTGCTCTTCAAAGCTCCTTAGCAACCTGGATTAAATTTCCCCTTATTTATTCTGTTCATATTACCAGCTCATATTCTCTTTTCCAAAGATATTCATAACCTTTTAAAATATTCTTTTTAATTTCCTAAATCACATTCAGCATCAATTTTCTTAAGCTCAGTTAATTACAGTGACTCTTCCTTTTTTTGAAAAGCAGGACGTAAGAAAAACTCATTAGCCACAGTAACAAAAAAAAGAGATGGCTGATGTGATTACTGCTTTATCCAGAAGCAACATTATTACCATTGTTGCTTGCTGTCATGAAATAATTTATTTAATTGTACGGTAACTATAGTTAACTATATTTTAAATAATTACTTTAAGTTCTGGAAATATTTTGGGAAATCTATAAATATAAAGTAGCTGGGGAAACCATTTTAGGTTTCACCGGTTTTTTTGGCAACTACCTCATGAAAGATATTAAACCCTTTTATTATTCCCCAAATCAATGTGACAAATTTATTTCATTAAAATAGTGACATTAAATATCAGATTTTGTACAACAGGCATACTTCAATTTAAAACTTGTGCATGGACAACTTTGGCTTATTTTGTTAAAGGAATAGAATGTATGTATCTACTAGGCTCATATACTATTTGTCCAGCTGCGTGCCTTTCTGAATAATTATATTTAAAAATATTACATGAAAATCAACATCACATAAACAGAGACACACATATATCACACTCATACACATAGTGTATACATACACACACAGAACATCAGTTACATTGTACAAATATTCAAAAGTTCAAGAAACAAATGACTTTTAGAACACCTAGAAATAGGGAGGAACCTTTCAAATTTCTTGGAGAATGTTGTTATAAAGAAGAGGTCAGGAAACAGTTGATGATATTCTGTTTATGGAATGTGCACCTGCAGCTGCAAGAGGGAAGACTGGTGTTAGACTCAAGCCCAGGGACTAGACAAGTTTGATCTGAGTCCAATACTTTATTTGCTTACACTTAGTAGAATCTTGCCCCACTTAAGCTACAACATTCTAATCTAAGCTATTAGATACTTCCTGAAAGATTCTAGGCTGAACCACTTCCCTCTTCCCATATGCGGCTCAGGACAGAGCTCTTTTTCTGGGAAAGCTCTGAAGAGACATATTCTGAGAAAAGAGATACCAAAATAATTTACATTAGCAGATCTAATGATATCAATGGCTGCAAAGAGGGCAAGCAATACTAGGAGAGTCACATTTACTCGATCCTGATCTTGTTAGAAGCCATCCACAAGTAAAAATTAACTGGCATTAGACCAGGTAATTCATCTATTGTAGGGCTCTCCAGCTGAAATCCCACAGCTTTCTCAAAAACCTATATTTGTTTTGTAGATGAGAGTTTCTTATATGCACCCCATCATAGCTGAGCTCTGCTACTGAAATTTTCAGTATGCTATGTTATGCCTTTAATGTGTCGGTGTAAATTTGGTTACAGCCATTATCCAAAATAATTTTTATTGGCCCGTGTGTAGTCAGCTTAATGGAAACTACCAGGAAATGGCACAATATATGAGAGAGAGAGAAAAAAAGTTAAATAATCCAAAATCCCATTGTGCTTTTTTGTAAGTTGTTATTGCCATATATATGATGTGAAAATGAGAAGCAAAATCACTATTTAAAAAAAGAAAATTTATTGAATGCCATGTTTTGAGTTATATTGTATAGCAGAATTAATGAATATTGAATGTGTAGAATTTTTTGTTGTTATTTTAACTGTTTCATGAATTTATTTTTATAATATAGCAGCTTTTGTAGAAACCCCATTACAAAAAATGATGAATACACCTAATTTTTAAATTAAAAACATATTTCTACTAAGGAATAATATACTTTGAGAGTTAGGGTTTAAAAAAACTCCACACTTATATTATTTGCAATTGTGTACATATATATATAGAAAGACATGCTCAGTCAACTGTGAATGAAACAAACAAACCATTACCTAGCGACGGAAAAACTGATTCATTGCCATAACAGACCATACTGATGATTATTCTGAAGTAACTTCTGATTTATTCAAGACTGCTGTGATTATAATCTACAGTTAAACATATCAAGTATTTAAAGTATAGTTTGCCATCTTATCAGATTTCATTGCACTGCATTGCCCTGCACTGCGTTTAATTTTTATTCTGCTTAGAGACATCAAGATGACAAGCGCAACATACTCCTTCCATTATGAACAGATCTGGGAAGAGTCTAAAAATCATTCTAAGGATTGGAGCCAGAGAATCAGGTTAGTTTTAATAAATATAACAATCAATTAACAATTAAAGTCCCAGAACTAAATACAAAGTATTTTTCTCTTTTTAAATATAAATAGAATTGTACATTATTAGGTATTAAAATGTCAGCACTTTTTAAAATTGGATTTTTAGGTTTTGGAAATCTGAATTAGTGAACCATTTCAGTTATTCTTTAACAATACACTTACTATATACAATAAGATATACATGCAGACATATATACATTTTTTGCTAACTTTTCTAAATGCCTTCTCAAAGTTGTCCTGATTTCATTGACATTTGCTTTCAGTTAATTATGCCTTGGATTCCATTCTGCTTTTGACTACTTAGAAGTAAATTTTAGCTGAGTCCAGGAGGTTATTCTTCTGAGTGGAAATATAAAAGAGTGCACTGTGATTTTGTCATTCTCTATGAATACCTAAGAATATTTTCTGGAATGTTTTCAGATGTGGGAAAACCTATAAAGAGGCAGAAGGATTACACAACAATAGTCTAATCTGGAAACTCCCCTGGAACACACAGGGTTTTAATATGCAGTTAAATAAGTATTGATTTCTCATTTAAAGCAAATCCCCTTGTTCCTACATAAAAGTCATTTGAGATATCTGTGTATGCATAATAATACAGTTTCTCAATAGATAAGGTGATATTGTATGTACATATATTTATTATATTTATTTCTCTCTGGGTTTTTTCCAGTAATTTTATTACTCAAATATTTATTAGAAAGTTAGTACTAATTAACTTGCATCCTATTTTTTTTATTCAAAAGGGTCTAACTTATGTAGCATGATATAATATATCTGATGGGCTTTAATAGATGTTAACCTCTTTGTGGAAATACAGACACCTTATATATAGATTTCTTGTTACTGTCCCTTGAATTCTGCGTACTTACTTAAAGCCTGAGCCTTTTAGATTCTAGTTTCAAATAAGGTTCTCTTATTCTGCTTATCAGATATTAGTAGTGAGATGGTATTCAATAAAGGAGGATGTTATTTTGTGGCATAGCATTGTATTCCAACATTTAAAGAGGGGTAAGCTGCAAAAGAAGCTGTATTGAAATAGATACTTAAAACTTGGATGTACACAATGGGTTAAATTCATAATAAACAGAGGTTGAATAATAGAATAAAAAGATTGAAAATCAAATAGTGTTTTTTCCTTTAGTAGAGGTGACAATCCTTCTAACAATAATATACTTGGAGAAATTGATCTAATTAATAACTAGCAAAGAGGCAGTGCAGGTTATTTCCTTTTCTAAGTTATTTAGTAAATAAATGATCAGATTCACAAATTGGTGTATATTAATATTCATAAATTATAGATGAAATTTGCTTTCTTTTTCTGACAGAATGAGGATAGCAGATGAGACGCAAAAATATGTATTTCACAAAGAGAGACAAGAGTTCGAAGAGTTGGGTGAGAAGGATGTGTCTGAACTTGACTTCTTTCCAGGTGAACTGGAAATGGAGGAAACTGTACTGGATGCCGCTGACCAGGAAACGGTGATGTGTGAAGACAACAGCAAAAAAGATTCCTGTTCCAATGCTATTGTCAAGAAAAAAAGAAGGAAAAAGAGGTTAGAAATAACCACTGAAAGCTAATAAAGTCTGGTTTTATTTACTAAAAGGGAAGAAAAATAGTAAGCATTGAGAGACAATATTGTTGAACTAAATAAATTATATTTTGCTCTGCAAGGTAGGCGATTACTACATTTGATATATAAATAAATCATTTATAACCTTCTTTTCACTCTCCAATGTCTCTCAATGTTTCCAAATGATATATCTCAATATATTCTAAATCCCCCCCTTTTTTCATTTTTGCTCTAAAATAAAAAGGATGAAAGAAAGCTGCTTGTTCATATGTTAACGGAATGTGTGACCTGTTTGGTTTTGACTTAGTATGATGAATTTTCCTTTATTGAACAAACCTCAGTTGAACATACATAGTATCATGTATGAATTGAATCATTATCTTTACAGGACTTCCCTGTGAGATTCTTGGCAATTGAACTTAAGAATTTAACCTAAGTAGAGCTGGGCAGGTTCAGACAAAATGCCTACCTGGACAAACCTTCAGCTAGGTTATAAGCAGAATATGAATACTATAGCTTCTCCTGTCACTATGTTCTAATACCTACTTTTGATTCTGGAGCCTTTGATATAGCATAATAACAATTCAGCTTTTTTCAGAATTTTTATAAGTATAACAACTATAGGCTATTCTGTATGTAAGACAGCATTTCTGTTCTGCCGGGAAGTGACAGTTGGCAATCCTGCTGCATACCTTTTCAGGCCAGGCAAGTTTTTATGTCTTTCTGTCCAGTGAAGCATATTGTTTATAGTCTGACCCCTCATTCAAAGCTATGAGACTCTGACACTCATTATTCCTCTTGCGGATTCACAAGCACACTCATTTGAAAGTTAAATACTATGGATGGTAAGGGAACCAAGTGATGCTCTATTTGTGCAAGAATGCAGAATCATAGGACAAAAGACTGAATCGTTTTTTAAGAGCAAGACCACTGTTCTCAGTCTTGAAAACATTTAATTAATTATTTTGGTTTTAAACCTCCTGAAAATGCTACACTTACTAAAATACCACAGATTTGTGAGGACTTTCCTGGAGTACCATACGACATAAAGTGAAAATAAAATATCTATATTTGCATAAAACATGGCAGGATCCATGTTCAGATACTGATTTAATGTTTGATTTGTGTTGCCAAATGGAATTTTGGTTATTTTTTCCAAAGTCTACTTATGACGTATTTTGATTCAGGTTTAAATGATACATTTCTGCTAAAGAATCAGAACAAATTCAGATTACAGTTTATTGTAATTCTCATATCTCCCTGTTGGTTCCCTCCTACAAATATTCTATCTAATCTTTATATTCCTCATCTTTATATTCCTAGTCCTCTTCTAAGTACAATTTTAAAAAGTTTAATTATTCATAAATTAGGTGATACTTAAAACTGATTTGGTAATCATTTTGCATTATACCGTATTTTTCGGACTATAGGATGCTCCGTAGTATAAGACGCACTTAGCTTTTGGGGAGGAAAACAATCAGCTGTTTCAGGCTGCAGGAATTGCCATTGTCTATTGCTGCCTCCGCATTCCCCATTTTCGGCCCATTCCGATCCCCGCATACGGAGGCCGAAAAGAGGGTGCATGGAGGCAGCAGTAGGTAATGGCAATCCCTGCAGCCTGAAACAGCTGGTCAAGGGAAGCCAATCCAACCGACAATCAGTTGCTTGTGCTATCAGGCTGTGCTGAAGCTGATCAGGCTGTTTTCTGCAAGGAGGCAAATTTCTGGGAGGCAGAGGGTGAAGGGGCTTTGGCAACATTCACTGTATTAGACGCACAGACATTTCCATCCATTTTTTTTGGGGGGGGGGGGAGTGCATCTTACACACTGAAAAATACGGTAAGTTGAAATCCATTTCTTCTGGAAACCCTTAACCAAAGTGGGATTTCACTGAGCTTAGTTTTCTTAGTTCACTTAGTTTTCCACAATAATACTTGATCCACAGTGTTTATGGAGATTCTCAATCATCCAGGTCTATTCTTCACCATTCAGTCAGAACTGAAGAAGCTTCTTAGATGAGAAGCAAAATGTTTTCAAGGAAAAATCCAAGGAAGTCCAGTTGCCTTTTGAAAAGAACCTTTGGGATTTGAGATTCAGGAACCAGAAGGTTCTTAAATACTTTATAGTAAGTTGTGCATTGGTTTTGCCTGTCTGCCTCTGTCTTTCTTCTTCTTTTTATGTTTTCCAGATGACCAGTGATAAATCTGACCAACTGTAAATATGAGAGTGGTAAGTACCCTGTTTCTCCAACAATATGGCCTCCCCCAATAGGAAGTCCCAGCATGTTTTATAGGCATGAAATGAAATTAAGCCCCTCCCCCCAAATTAAGCCCTATATTAAAACATGCAAAATGGGGGGGAATCATGGGGGGGGCTTGCCATTAGGAAGTAATTTTGTTGCACACCCGGATATGGTGCTGCCTGTGTTGACCCCGATACGAAGTGCCCCACCAACACCGAGGTCAACATCCAAGCCGTCGCCGCCCGCCCGAAGATGCAAGGGGGGGAATTAAGTCACCCCCGAAAAGACGGCCTAGCCATTTTTTCAGGGCTCAAAAAAAAAATAAGACCCAGCCTTATTATATGAGAAACACGGTATAATCTATAATTATGAGGCTGAATATACTTCTCAGTTGGTTCAGCGAGGAAAAAGCCCACAATTATTATTAAAAAGCAGCTTCCAAATTAATGAAATTCTGAGGTTTGTTCTAGCTTTTGTTTGAAAAATTTAAAAATATATTTATACTTAACAATTGAAAGTATTGTTTGGAATCTAACATTCATCTTCAGTTTCCACACATTCACCTCATTTTTTTCTTTCTTATAATTCCTAAATTTATGTGTTTTCTGAAGCTGTCTCATATTGTCCAATGTAAGACTAGCAATTTAAAGATAAGTGTGTGGAGGAATTCACACAAGTTCACCAACTGGAGTTTGGCACAAGTTCATATTAAACCAATAATAATGTAGTATATTTTTCCATGAAATTAAAATACATAGTTTAGTTATTGTACTTAAGTTATGATGTACCCTCTGAATGGAACTTGTTCTTCCATTTCTTTTCCCTAATATTTCTATATAAACTGATGTGAGTCTGTCTCTTCCTATCACACAGTACGTCGGGCTGCCAAAATGTGTGGACTTCGGGAAGCAATTGAGATGGATGACTGGACCTTGTATTGGACAGATTATTCTGTCTCTCTGGAGCGGGTGATGGAGATGAAAAGTTATCAGGTATTTATTATCACCCTGAGATGGAGCTAAACGATCTGTGTTTTTATTTGTAAAAAAAGATGTGAAAGTTTGAATTGTACTGATTATTTACCTTTGATCCCGTTTTTAGAAAATAAATCATTTCCCTGGAATGACAGAAATCTGTAGGAAGGACCTTCTAGCCAGGAATATGAGCAGAATGTTAAAGCTTTTCCCCAAGGAATTCAACTTCTTTCCCAAGACTTGGTGTCTCCCTGCTGAGTGAGTCTTTATAAAATTTACCTCCCATATTTTTTTCTTATTTAGTTTCTCTTTTCAATCATAAAAGTTTAGGACATGAACATGGACATATGCAAATAAATTTGGCCTAAATGTTTTATTAAAAAGTATAGAAGTCTCTTTTAGAATTCAAACCACTCTACTATGAGCCCTACTTATTACTGAAGATTCCATCTCTCCCCTCCCCATGGGTGTGACTTTGAGAAAAAGCCTTCCTAATTGAATATTATCCCATACTGGATTTCAGTTCCCATAATTTCCTATCAAGATGTCTAACAGTTTTAGGGCTAGCAGTTTGGAATGTTCTTGGGCTACTGTATATTTTTTAAATAACATGTTTTTCCTTTTCATTGATCTCAGCTATGGTGAATTGCAAGCCTTTGGGAGATCAAAAAAACATAAAACTTACATCTGTAAACCAGACTCTGGTTGTCAAGGCAAAGGCATTTTCATCACAAAAACTGTAAGAGATATCAAACCTGGGGAGGATTTGATCTGCCAGCTCTATATCTCAAAGGTGATCCTCTTGTATTGAAACAGGTCTCAGCCGGTCTCCTGGAAGTCCGCAGATTTGCAGGGAAAACAACCAGCTCATAGACTTCAGACTGGGTAAAGCTAAATAAAGGTTTATTCATAAACAACGAATTCCCCATCCGACAAGAATGGAATGAAGCCAATTAAGGTTAGCGCTGGGAGCATCTGCCTCCCAGCGCTGTTTATAGCTGTGGCCACGCCCCCACCTAAACATATCTACCTCCTGAGTTCCACTCCATGCTAATCACTCCCCCACTAATCATTTCCTGCTTCTGGCATTTGATCATGGATTAGCATTCACTGCCTCGCCTAACATCCCTGTCTATCCCCAGCCCAGCTATCACCCATTACACACACACTCCAGTCAGCAAGCATCTTCACAATTGGAAAGGTTATGTCCCAGCTCCTTGGTGATGTCATCAGTGTCTGGGTTATTCTTGGGAGTCTCTCCTCCGCTGTTGTTGTTGCGCTAGCTAGCCGGATGTTGGTTTGTCAGCTGTTCAGTGGTCGTCAGCTGTTCAGCAGCGTATCAGCTTAGCGACAGCATGGAGAATCTGGCTACAGACCGGGATTCCCCCAGAAGTGCTTTGCATTGGCAGGCTCTGGGGTATGTCGCCATGCCCAGAGCCCGACAGGCTGCCCCCTCTACCAGAGATCTACCTGCAAAATGAGAACGAATATTTGAGTTCACAGCCTTAACAGGAACTGTATTGCCCCATGCCCTTGTAGGATGTTTCAGGTGGAATTGACAGCATAGCCGTGGAGCGTTCACATCTGTGTGGGCAACCCATTAAGCATCTGCGATTGGATATCCTTTCCACCTAATCAGATATTGCAAAGTTCCTCTATGCCTATGGCAATCCAGGATTTCTCCTATTTCATAATGGTCATCCCTTAAGGGGCCAGGGGGGGTCGGGTTGAGACTGACTTCTCTCTATG